TGGTCAGTCATAAGTAACGTATGCCTTGGTAAACGTGCACGTTAGCCCGAATTTACATACCACATCAGAGTGATGAGATAAATTTGATAGTAAAAACGAATAGAAAAAGTATTATTATCAATCGGAATGATGAAGAGTAAACACTGGAGAATGGTTTGAAATGAAAATATATGCTGGTCACATGCGTTATCCAAGCAATTTCTAAAAATAATGTAACTAAAGTTCATCGTAAGTCAACATTGATTTCTTTTCTTCTAAGTTATATTAGAGAATTTCACATCCACAACAATAATACTGTCAATTCATATTGACATCAAGATTCTAAATGTAAATTTCGTTCTAGGTTTTTGTGTATTTTATTTTGCTTATAAAACAAAAATCAATCGATAGTTATTAGTGTTTCTTGTCAAAAACAATCCATTTTTCTAATCACTGACTGGATTCAATGTTTATTGATTTTTCGTTGGAAGTATAACTATAAATAAAAGATAAGTAATTTTCTGGCTGAAATCATTACATTGCTGAATGTACTAATCAGCAGTAGCACATAATCAAAGAAATTATTCAAAACAATTTCATCTCCAAAGATACCAGTTTATCTAATATCCCATAGTTCTGTTTGTCACTGTAAATTAGACAGTTTTTTCGAAGAAAAACATGTCATTAGACAGGCACACCTAATTATATTACATCTAAACAAAATGGTTGCCTTTACCATTAATCCTAACTGTTCTCATAACCGAAGTGAGTAGTAATCAAGCACCTACACATATGTACGACAGTCACTTACACTGAATATTTTATGTTGTTCAAAAATGTCTTATAGAATATTCTTTTCACAATTCTATAATGAGTTACACATCCGTGTAATTAGTTAATATTGATCTGTTTCAAAATTTGTTTACAACATATTAAAATAAAATAGTTTCTACTTTTACAAAATTGGAATGACATTACATTGTCGTTATATCACCGCAATTTAGGTGAAATAAAACTACTCATGTTAACTTGGAAATAATACATACTATTCAATAATGTATCATAGTTTTATGGTTATTTGCTTACTAGTTTTAAAAATCCATTTATTTTCAACATACTAATATTAGATTTTGCAAAACGTTTGAGTTTATGGCCTTTATATATTGTTGGATAATGTAAACCGTTACTTAATGCAATTTTGTTGTGCTTTTCAGGATTATTTTGAGTATCGTATTTGTATGTAACGATCTTCAGTATGCATTTCCCAGCCTCGAAAAAGTTTCATTCTTTATCTAATCACACAAAATTATATACCTGCAAACATTTCTCCACGAAAAAATAAATGCTGGGGTTATCCGACCTCGTTTTTGTAACGCAGCCGACACTTATTTTTTGTTTACCTACAAAATAGTGTCCTCTAGGAGACCATGGTTGGTTAGCCCCTTCCAGTATATTTGTTTTGTTTATGACTTACAGTACATTATTTTACTTAGAAAAGCTTCTTTATGTTACACATTTCTTAAAAGTTAACAATATACTGATGTGACGTTTTTAGGTTAGTTTTAAATACTTTCTGTTGTGTTAGGTGGGCGATCGAGTACGATACAGGTATTTACACATGCCTGACCAGCTACTTGAGTGAGAAAAATAGGGGCAAGTAGCCAGCTTTTGTTAGCTAACTCAAATCAAAATATATGCATAAACACACCCATAAATATCTATTTCCTTTGGTTAATCATGCCAACTCTTGATCCATTAAGTGCACCCTGCATGCACCAGCATTATACCTGATTGGCGCAACTTATACCTCTCAATATATCTTATAAATATGAATGTACTTGTTAGGTAAGCTTATCTGTCCACATTATTTAAATAACTGTGATGAGCTTTTCCATAATAGTATAATCAGTTGAAAAAATTTCGTAAATTTTTAATTTACACCATCGTCAAACTTCTTTATTCCATCTGTCTATTGAAGAAGGGTGTGCCTGAGAAGTTTATTAACATCCTAAAAGCCCTATATAAAAACACCTCAGGCAGAGTGAGGGCATACAACCACCTCTCTCCATTGTTCCATTCGAGTAGTGGGGTTAGGCAGGGTTGCCCAATCTCACCATTCCTCTTCAACTTTGCCATCGATGACATTCTGGAATCAGCTCTGATGAATGTAAGTAATGGTGGTGTGGATCTGTTACCTGGAGAAAGACTTCTCGACCTTGAGTATGCGGACGATATTGTCTTACTGTGCGATAATGCCCAAGGCATGCAATCCGCACTTAATCAGTTGGCAATCAGTGTCCGTAGGTATGGTATGTGCTTTGCACCTTCGAAGTGCAAAGTACTTCTACAAGACTGGCAGGATTCCAATCCTGTACTCACCCTGGATGGTGAGCAGATAGAAGTAGTCGAGAAGTTCGTGTATCTGGGTAGCTGCATAAGTGCTGGTGGGGGTGTGAGTGATGAGATCAGTGCACGTATAGTGAAAGCCAGAGCGGCTTATGCCAATCTGGGCCACCTTTGGCGCCTTCGTGATGTTAGTCTGGCTGTAAAAGGTCGGATCTACAACGCGTCGGTGAGAGCAGTTTTGCTCTATCCTTGTGAAACCTGGCCTCTCCGAGTTGAGGACGTTAGACGACTCTCTGTGTTCGATCATCGCTGTCTCCGAAGGATTGCTGATATTCAGTGGCAACACCATGTCAGTAATGCAGAGGTTCGGCATCACGTGTTTGGGCACAGAGATGATAATTCAATTGGTGTCACCATCTTGAAACACCGACTTCGGTGGCTTGGACATGTTCTACGAATGTCGTCCCAGAGAATTCCACGTCGTGCATTATTTGCCGACTCTGGGACTGGTTGGAAAAAGCGGAGAGGTGGTCAGTGCATGACATGGTGTCGTGGTATGAAAGAAAGCTGCAAAGGACTGGCTTGTGTTGGTCCTTCACGACTCCCTGGTTGGGGTCTGAGAGATGGTGCTACACAGTGGCTAGAGACGTTATCAGATATGGCTCAGAATAGAAGCCAGTGGCGATCCTGCTGTAACCTTCTTTTACTTTCTTCATAAAAAGTGGTTGTGTCTCCCTTACTTGAAAGATTTCTTCTGATTGTACTTTTCCGTTCCATTGTTACGACCACACTAAATCTGTTCGTTATCGTTCTCTTTTGTGCTCCTTGGTTTTTTTTTCTTTTTCTATCTCTTCGAAGTTACATTGTTTTGTGTGGCGCATATATATTGGCGCTCTCTTGTACCAATATTTATGTGTTAAAATAAATAAAATAAATAAATAAATAAACTGCCAAAGATGTAGTCAGACAAGTGTTGGCTGTGTTTTTTTATTAAACATACTTCGCCGAGTGTGTTACTGTTGCTTATGAAAGTGGGATTCATTATTGAGCATTTTGGACATGTATTATCTAAATATGAAATTTATTACCGATAAATATTACTGTATCATATTCTGTTTTTATTATCAACTATCCGCTTTTCACTGATGTTGATCTTACATTATGAAGTACAACTGTCTTATTTTCTACACCAATTAAACTAGCAGGATCACTATTGTATATTCATATTTTGACATATGATCACGTACTGACAGTATTTCACCTTACAGTCACTTTGGGATGACTGATTAGAAAATTCTTGTGTAATACAGTGTCTGTAGCACATATACTCTCCACTTGTTCTTTACACTTATCACTAAACGTTGTATGCAGATATGATCTAAATGGTAAAGCCATAATTTATCAAGAAATCAATCAAATTTAAGACTGTGCCTTTTAGATTTTTGCACGAAATCCATTAATCAAAATGACTACAATTCTTGCATCAAAATTGATGTCAGCTCGTGATGAATACCCGAAATTCTAACTCTGAATCATAATTCTATTGTTGATCCTAGTAAACAGTTTGGAATCCTTTTGAAAACACTTTAGTATCGGAAGTAGTCGTCTACAAATTGTAGCCTCGCTGTTGCATTTATGCAAAAACAGCAAATAACTGATTGGTAGTTAGCTACTTTTTGTATTCTTGTTTAGGTGGTATATATGAATATGGGTAAATTTGCACAAAGAGCTAATCGTCGCTTGTATGATGAATATTCATTTTCCATTAGAATGTAGTTGATCATCTCATTAACAGTATCAATCTAATACTATGAAACATGATGTAGGATATCGTGCAATCTAACACTCAAACACTAACGCTTCTACGTCTCAAATTATTTGAACCAGCAACTCAAATTTATTGAACAACTACCACTAAAAGCTATACAATGCATTAGTTTTTCGTCACTGCTAAGTATAGAAAAGCTAATTAGCCCTATCAGTAAATCTGCGTTTTTCTATTAAAATTCTAATTTGTTCCATTTAGTCTCTTGATAGGCTTACATTTGTTCTACTGATCAATATTAATTAACTTAATGCACAATAAGCACGTGGTATTTGATACCAAGAAATTTTGTGTGCTGAAATTCATGCTAAGCCTGATGACTTTTCTGAAATGCTTTTTTTCCTCTCACTCTGTTCATAAAAATATGTTATGAAATGAACAACTTAGATTTAAGTTTTAAAAAACATGACACTTTTTCCTTTCGAAAAAAACTAGCATTCAACAATATCATCTGGTCTAAATTCCTAACTAAATGGATACCTACTGATTCCTTTTTAAAATAAATTTACTGACTTATGCATTTGTTTATTTGGACAATGACCTTCACGTCCAGAATACACATAAACGTCCTTAAACAAACAGCTTAAATGCTTTAATCTTTTCTATATTTCTCCATATTATCCAGTGTTTTAAATCAATACGACTGAAAACACCATGACTGCCTGAAACGTCAGTTTATTTTCTCGTGTCCCTCTATCCTCTTCGTTTTGATCATATACTGATCATTTTGCTGTTCTGGAAGCGCACAACAGTAAATTAGTCAACCGATTGTGCTTATAAATATTTATGCAATTTTTAATTTCCATAAATCTGACGTAAACGTTAACTTGCTTCTCTGTCTATTTTTAAGTGCCTCAGGTACCGTTCGACTTGGTCGAAATAAAAGAACAGGACAAATTGTAGCTGTCAAAGTAATGAAACTAGATAAACAGCCCAATCGCGATTTAATCGTTTCCGAAATTGCTGTCATGAAGCGCATACAACATGAAAATATCGTTAATTACTTAGCATCTTATTTATTAAGAAATGAAAACCAGCTATGGGTTGTGATGGAATACCTGGATGGTGGTGCACTGACAGATGTAGTCACTGAGACTGTCATGGCCCCAGACGTAATTGCCGCTGTTGTTCGGGAATGTGTAAAAGCCTTGGTATTTTTGCACGACCAAAATATAATACATAGGTATAGTACATTAACCTTATGTTTTCTTGCTGGTTTTTTTAATCTCGTTTTAGGTATTAACAGGGCTGTAATAACAATTCCAAATATCACGTGGCTAACTTCTTTCCATTGCTATGAAAAACGTAAAATTATAATCTACCTCACAAAGCAAACATTGTTATGGTATCTGAAAAAGTTCAAATATCACTTGAATTACTCCAACCTATAAAAAATAACTAGTCAATTTTTATGCACTATGTTTTCCGTTCTTTCAAATCATCAAACACATTCGCAAAACTTACCTTTAATTTGACTCCATCAATAGGTGAATTTATTAATCTATTTTTACAAACCAAATTAGTAGATTTGCATACCTTTTAAGTATCTATAGCTATTTACAAGGGCATATGTTGTATAGATAAAAGTGTTTTATTGAAATTTACAGCATATTACTTCCCAGATTCAATGCAGTGATCTTCATAGAATTAACATGATTAAGTGGTTCTGGAACATATATACTTATCGAAGGTCATTTATATCCGAATAGCTCACTAATGATTTCTTTAACTGCGACACAGTGGAATAGGTTTAAAACCCTAGTTACCAGAATTACCTTTCTAATCACTGATGAAGTGCATTACTATCGGATCTGATGACTTCCTGTCGATCAGTTTTGAGAATCTACCACCAATTCGCATCACAAAGTGCAACTATTTAAGCTAATAATCACGTCGTAATGAAGATACAGTTGAACTAATCACTTCTTAACCAGTTTTTCCAGAAGTACCCTACAAGTCCTGTTCATATAAGTCATATAAACTAGCACAAGTTATGAAGCTTGAAGATATGTTACAGTGAAGCAGTTTCTTAAAATAAGAATTACTATGCGAAACTCGAGTTATTTCTTTTTTACCTCTAACCTACAACGCGGACCAAAATAAATCAATTTACTTACATTTTCACAGGGATATAAAATCTGACAATGTACTACTCGGAAAACAGGGTCAAGTCAAGGTCACCGATTTCGGATTTTGTGCTCAGCTTGGTAACCGGCAAAGTAAACGCCAAACCATGGTCGGGACTCCTTATTGGATGGCTCCTGAAGTTGTTTCGAAAACTGCAAATTATGGGCCGAAAATTGACATTTGGTCACTTGGCATTATGATTATTGAAATGTTGGATGGAGAACCACCTTATATGAATGAACCTCCACTAAAAGTATGTTAAACCATGTATTTATCACATTGTACAACTGATGAAAGTTTTTATCTTCTTGGATTATTTGGATTAGTATTGTTCGACCGTAGAGCCTAAGGAACTTTGCCATTTGCTCAGAAAGACATGTCTGCTGATGACTAAAATGTTGTCCGTTCATGAAGACTTTATTTGAAAAAGATCAATTTATAAAAGTTCCTTCCACTCAAGCATTGTACCTCTCCAAAATGTTATATATATATATATATATATATATATATATATATATATATATACCCTGGTTTAAGCTCATTTCGTCTGAAGGCCATTGTTAGTGATCAGCTAGTCAAATCAATGTAAGTAAATTTTAGCTCAAGCGTATCAACCTGTGATTTGATTTTCGATCACTGAACCCATGGTATGGAGTTCGTCAAACTTCGAGTGTTACCAGCTCATAAAAACGACTAAACAAAACGTGTGCTTGACCAATGATTTGCAACAACCATATCCGGTCAGCAATATAACTCTGGTGTCGGACTATCGAATGCAGTGTAGTAGTTATCAGCATGATAGCATTTGATCCCACTTTCATACATCTTAAAACAAGCAACTAGATTGTTGCAGTGGACAACTATTCAATCGACCACTCCAACAACTACTTGACAGACGAGACACACATATGCTCGAGTGTGTGAGCTGTCCAATCACTTTTTATAAGGTGTCAGATGCAGTCTTTGTATCGAGCAAGTCCTAAACACCGAATAATATTCTGTGCCCAACCTTTGGAAATCCATTCAAACTTTTACGAACCGGGCTATCTCCCAAATTCGCAGTACGTTCTAAGTGGCCTTGGAAGCTTAAACCCGTGGTCCAAATAATAGTTACCTGACTGCTGATGTACGAACACCAACATTCACATTCTCTTCATTCTTCAAAGCTCCGCTAAGACTACCTTAATATGCTTTTTGCCCTACAAATAAACGATTACCGTAGGTTTCCCCGAAATTTTTAAGGAACGGAAACAGCTCTCTATTACAGAGGCCTGTATGCAGCTTCAAGGTAATCCCGTTGGGCTCCTCCGTTGCTAAACACTGATCCATTTTATGAGCTTACTTAGTCACATCAGCTCCTAGCTTCAATAGCCGTTAAATTAGCCACGTACTCAGCGACTCCTATCCATTGATAAACATCTTCATCTTCCTCCCTATATTAGTAGTACTGCTTAAATTTGAGTAAATAAGTATTATCACTGACCTTTGCATCAAATGTAACTTAAAACCGTATACGCTAACTTGTATTTAGCAAAGGAGTTGTGTTAATCCATTTAACTAAGTATCTGTTCCTGGATTGTTTTACTCTACGATCGTTACTAACTCGGCACCATTAAGTATAATGCCCAGTACACCGTCTACTACAGTTTCCAAGAGATCAATACCCCAGATAGGGTTGTATTAGGTTGTCTTCAGATTTTCGTGTAGACAAGCGGACAATGTAATAGCTTTCAACTACTTATTTCTTATCAACAGTCTCAAACTTACTGAGTGACCACCTAACCCCGTTAACATCAACATAAAAATGGACGTACAAATCATCATACTAATTACTGTTAGGTGAGATCTTTAGGAGGTTCTCACTAATCACAGATTACCTGTCCACATTTTGATAATGATCATCATATGTCTGTGACGAAAGCAGATTGCAGGAAAGTCTATTAACCTTCGGCTTGACGATAAAGTCAACAAGAAATAAGCTAAACATTGAACTAGAGATGACTCAACTGCTGTGAGGAACAACTAAAATAGCCAAATTTAGTTAGTATTCAAAAATCGATACGTCCCCCCAATGCCATATGGAATGATTAGAACACAAATATTTATCCTGGTTGATTACAAGCATAATGAAGAGTAGAAACGGCCTCTACAGATAAGCAAATGGTAGTAAGTAAAAAAAGCGGTAGTACAGCACGCTCGAGGTTATTCCACCGGAAGAAATACGAATATATTCAATCTTCGTATATTTTATATTATACGTTTCACTACTGGTCAAAATTTTATATGGATATCTTATTTTTGTTTATTTATGTATATCATATCATGAATTATGACAACTTGGGGTAATGAGTCTTCGTCCAACATAAGATGGTGATGTTTCTTAGTGTTAATTACAAAACCTAGAATCGAAGAATTAATCGGTCTACTCTACCTTCAAACGCAAACCAAAATATTATTGAACTTAGTCACCTGTCGCTGATCTTAGCTGTTATCGGCTTCGTCTAAAGGAATTTGAAAGGGCCATAGTTATAGTATCTTCCTAAATACAGTTTAGATGTCTCAGGTTATTGCAGAAAACCAGCTACAGTGTTAGCACAAGCATGTTAACGCCTACATTGTCTGTGTAAAAATAGCAAGTATGAAGTAAGAGAATTTTTCACAGCTTACAGTTCATTTGTCCTTAAATAGATTTCGCTATTAATATCATTTTCTGTTTCCTCAAGCTATTAAACATGCCGACTCGAGCATATTGTCTCATTCTTTTGTGAACCACATTTTAATTTGTTTACTATCACTGACACTATTAATTTACAAGTTCTACATGTAAATGCTTTGGAAGCACTAATTCTTACTTCACATTCAAACTATAATTTTCTACTAAAGCAGGTAGTACTATGTAAAGAGAAAGGTTTATGTTATGTTACTTATCGCAGACTAGTCGCTAATTAAATTAGAAACTGAAAGGTTTGCTACTAGTGATTATTGTAAAGTCTATTTCAATTTTAAAGTAACGAAAATTCTCCTTGCATTACTCAGGCAATATACCTCATCCAAACAATGGGAAAACCTAGACCAAAAACCAAGAACTTGCACCCGATGCTTCAAGATTTTCTGGACAGATGTCTAGTCGTAGATCCTGTAAGACGAGCTTCTGCAAAGGAACTACTTAACCACGATCTTTTTAAGCATGCAGGGAGCTTGTCTTCTCTTGGACCGCTTATTCGTGCAGCACGAGAGAGTCTTGGAAAAAAGGAATAAGAACGGACAACTAAACATCTAGCATCAATCATGACGGAGTTAAAAACCATCGAGTAAGCCGGACAATTATTATCATAAAAATTTCTGTCCGCCTGTTCAGTTTGACAAAGATTTCTAACAGGAATATCATTTTTATCGTTACTCAGTTTTTGCAAGTCCGAATCTATCACACATCTATATTTTGTATGCTTTGACTCACACTTTACCTACAAGCCTAATCCAGTTTTTAACCTAGATTAACTTGTAATTGCTAAATCCTGGCTGCTGTCTTTTTTATTATTTCAATCAAGTCTTTCTGCTGTTTTGCGAATGCATCGTGAAGCAGTTCACCCCGATTTTTTGAATGATCATTAATATGTAATCTTGATTTCTTTCTGTAATAGTTTACTACGCTTAGAAAAATAAACGTATTAACAATTTTTTTTTTACAAAAGCAACAAACCATTTTTGACAATTTTTATATAAGGTTCGTACATCAGTTATCAATTATGTATACCGACTAGCGTGGGCTAAGTTAAATACATTTACTACGTCTGAAGAATAAAGAGAATCATTTTGGTAACGAAAATAAATATTGGCACGAATACCTGGAGATTAGAGTCAAGAAAATAAGTATTATGGACAAGTTTGTAGGTTAAACACGGAGATACTATCACAGTTAGATCCCGCAGATATTCCATCTTTAAACGTCTTCCAAAACCATAGGCTGGAAAGTAAAATATACGACTGTAAATATAACGGAATTGGTAGTTAAAAAGCAAAAGGTTTATTTAGGTATCAGCTAGTGCTGATCAATCATTGTTTCTAAAACACTATTATACTTACGCTACTCCGTCCAGCGCTCATGGTGCTTGCTAATATGCCTCTTTGATACCTCCAACTCATGTGTTCCAAATCAGGCACGGCAGTGCAGTAAACAATTTCTACAAGAAAATTAAAACCACGAGCAGCTTAGTTACTGTGTAATTAAATAGCTCGGAACATTTTCCAAAGTATGAATAGACGCGTTAAACGTTTTTGAGAGAGCCTCTTATATTGTATCATTTAACAGGTTGTGTGGACTGTGTTAGACGAATGGATTACTTAACTATGGTCTTGATCATGTGTACATCAAGCACATATATTACGTTCTTAAATAAAATAAATAGAACTAACAAAAGACTTTAGTTTCCATTTTGGAGCTGAAGATAGATTTGTCATGGGTTCTTTTAGAACTAAAACGACAGAGACTTAGTCACTCATGACTAGCTTCAAACCTACATGTTAATCCAAGTTTTCATAACATGTCAATACAACAAAATGAGGATAACCATAGTCATCATAATACTAGTATCAGTAACAGTGGGAAACACTAGACTGGACACTGCTTGAGGAAAGGGTGAACTCAAAAAACATCAGACACTATCTAAAACTGAAGCTTAGGAAATAAATTACTTGATTTCAAACAATCCGATTCCAGATCTGACTCACTTGGGTCCTAAGATTCTGGCAGTATCACTGGGTCTCAGAGTATACGTCAAAAGCGAGTGTACAAATTTCTACTGAGTTTATCACTTTGTATACAGAATGATAGACAACACAAAATAAAGCAAATGGATAATCTTCCGGGATGCCACGATAGTGAGGTACGAAAGTACCAAGGAATGGGAAGAATATTAACCATGGTAGGAAAATGAACGTAGATATGGCTCGGAACGATGCATGGTTTGAACAGGAAAGTATGGATTGATGAGGATATATGAAGATAACGAACAAATATAACTACGTTAAGTTTCGAGTCATATCAGTTAGTTTTAGAAGACCGAGGCCAAAATATTTACCAACTTTCACACAATTTAGACTAGTAAAACGGATTCCAATGACAGTTATCTTTTGGTTATTTCATGCTTTGTTCCGAACTACTCATGCTAGGCCAAAGAAGGAACGTAGTAAATCAGTGGCTATGCAAACGGTAAGTGTAAGTCTTCACGTGACAAGTTACGCAATGACTGAAATTTGAGTGGGTTTTCTCCCGTTTCAAATATCAGTTGAAAGGGACAATTTCCTACTACATATTATTTCACATTTTAGAATATATGATAAAGATTTGCAGCTCAGGTGAATGCTTTCGATATCTGCAACACTAGTAATTAGCAACATTTTGTACATAAATACTAACTCTCCCCTACAACACATCTATGTTGTGTGCCATATAATTTAATATGACAAGTAACTTTAGCCAGTCAAGTTCAGACCCTCAATAGCCAAAGTGCACTATGACCGCTAAGGCTACGAATTTACAAATGGTACCGAGCTTAATAAATCTCACGAAAAAACCCACTGGTTTCTCATACTTGATATACCAAGAAATGTACATATTACTCACTAATTGACACTATGAATGTTACTGCATGACTCATTAAAATGAACATGAGAATTTATTAAGGGTAAAATAGCAGATGAAGCTGCACAAAGTATTTACGAAACGAACTATTATTTAGGCGACAAAACTTTCGTGTAAAAATAACTAACCCCCAAACCTATCGCCATTGGGTAGACAGAAAGACAGCGCCCCGACGACAGGACATTGATAAGTTAGCTGGAGGTTTGGAGGAGTGATATTTAATGTTAGGTCTATAATTTGACGCGGAGGAATTGGAAGGATAGGGATCCTGCCATCTACACCGATTGGGAGCCATAGGACTTCACTGTTATCTGCAGATAAGCTGTTTAGTCGCGCAACAGCATGGTCTATCTGCTTATAAATGTGGTTAAAATAGTTATGAACGGGCACTAACTTCAGACCGTAGGAACGTTCCTTCAGGCCAGGAACAAGAACCGCAGTTCTCGACAGTTACTTTGATAAACCCACCAAGTTCCGGAACATCATAAGGTGATGGCCATACCCGTGCATCGAATTGTCTTTGGTTTACCACAACTTCAGAATCTATACGCATGCAGTCCACATTCGTAGATGATTCGCAAACACTCACGGAAGTGAGTGGGTAATTAGATGAACAACTAACTGGTGCGGAACCCTCAAAACTGAAATCAAAGTAAGCACCGATTGCACGTTGTAGGTTCCTTAAGCAGTAGTATTATCAGATGTTTTTACTTTACCAGTCGGCCAATTCTAAGAAAAACCGACACGACTCGTTAGACAGCTCATTCCCAACAACTGCTCTTAGCTGATTTATTAACTCATCCTTGTCTGTTGTACCAAGTGCACTAAACTGTTCTAGTAGTTTGGCATCTATGTCAAACATCCTGATTCTTAGCGTCAAACACTGCCTTCCATTTTGCCAGCAAAATTCGAACGTAGCGTACTCCCAAGGACACAAATCATCCAAACCAACATCTGTGTGAGTAGCAGGATGTCAGGAATAAATGTCAGTATTATTGACAGAAAGTAGTTCCAAGACGCATACTTAATTAAAGGTGCAAGGTGAGGAGATGTGAAAGATTTTTGGCATCATTAGTGTTGATGAGACAGGCACCACTAGTTTCAGCCTCAGTTTGGGAAGGACAGGAGACCTGATGACCCGTGTTAGTCCTGGCAATTGTGGTCTCTAAGGCAGCTCAGTGTTATTCATCGCGTATGTATATGTACCCGGTTGACCGATATGCATCACGACACACTTGAAAATATTTATCAGCAATTGCAAGGTTTGAGACTATTCAGATAATTTCTTCAGGTCGTTTTGGAGTTCTAAGCTATCACCCTCACATCGTATCGTTCTCCATATCTTGACATCGTCAGCATATAGCAAGACCGATGATGATATGAGACGGGGAAGGTCATTTACATACAAGAGGAATATCACTGGCCCCAAAACTGTATCCTGGGGCACTCCACTAAGCACAGTTCCCCAGCTAGAAAACTTTGAGTTCACCCGAACTCTATGTTGACGCCCAACTAAGAAGTCTTTTATCCACATAAATAGATTGCGTCCAATCCCGACATTTCTTAACTTATATAACAGCCGGTTGTGAGGAACCTTGTCAAAAGCTTTGCTGAAATCAATGAAGGCCACGTCTACAGGTATCACTGAGGATATATTTCAAATCATTACTTACATAACATTGATGGTGTCAGATTCTCTCAGTAAACTAGTGTGGTGTTTGTACTAAATGGTAATTCTATCGCACTTGATTGTACGCTTATTATGAATTACAAATATAATACTTTGACTCGTTTCACCTGAAAATCTTAAAAAACGATCCTGGTCCTTGATGATTCTCTGGTTATCATGTATCAGACTGCAGAACAAAAATGAAGAGGTATTTCGGGAGAATTTTTGTGGTGTCCTCAAACGTTTCAAAGTTAAACAACTATCAGTCGTGTGACTTACTCAATGGGATGATACTAGACACCCAAACTTTGCATAATCGCCTGTCACTCTTGATAATACTGTGAACGTGGGCGGTGTTGTTCTGGCTAATCACTTGTTAGAGCCAGACAGAAATACGTGAACACCGTCGAAAGGACCATATTTGGAACACAATCTTAGAAAAACTATCCCAAAGGCAACTGATAAGGCGTTCTTTCGATGAATGAAGATTATTACTCTAAGTGTCTCGAAAAGACGGACACTGATAACGCAATCTATAAAACTCAACAGAGAAAATTTATGGAGCTGTTCGTGAAGTATCAGAATAACTTCAACCCAAAACTGACACGACTGTTAAAAATTGACGGAAAAGTGAAAGAATTTGAATAAAAATAAAATCCCCTTTGGAGTAAATGTCGGTGAAAAACCACGATAAAACCACGAAAAAGTCTAGTAGATGTGTTCGAAAGCGTAGTATGATTGATTGACTAGCGTATGATGGTATTGAACAGATAGTGAGAGGAAGGCATGATGACCAACAAAGTAGATTCGATTACCATGGTGTTTGCACGATACAATTGCGGTTGGTAAAGGAAGTCTATCTTGTCATCTGTCGCCACATGCTTGGAGGTCTCCAAAGAAATATATATCTGAACAATATAGTTTCTTCAATTGCTTGGTGTTAGGGTTGATTATTTTGATGGTACTATGGCTAAGAAAAACGAGAGTTTATTATATTATTGAGTGCGCTGAAGTGCAGTATCTCAACAAGAACTTGTGGTGGAGTAAGTTGACATCACTTTGAAATTCAAGAGCTCCATCTGAAGATGTGGTTCGAAAATTTTCCTAATTATTGAGCTTTACGGGAAAAAAGATTTCACTGCAACTGATGGTATGCTAGACTTTTCGTGGGGAGGGATCAATAATTCTAACTGGTTCTATCCTAATCCAGATAATGTGGTTTTATCTCGAGTTATTCATATGATAGCAGACAGTTAAATACCAGGTCCTTGAATTCTTTGAAGGGTCTTAATTGATCACATGCTATAAGTGATGTGTGATTAAAGGTGAACTATGTTAATTAACCTCTAATATTCACCTATAGTTGAATTAAATGACGAATAATGCCTAACACTTTCACCAGTGCTCCTTGGAATCTTTTGTTTTAGGTAACAGAAAGTAAATATCCTGATACTTCCTTGCAGAGCAACAGAAGATTACGTAAGGGACCTTGAATAAAATTCACAGCGTTATAGTCTATTCAGATAATTGCATAGCGCTCGATTCGCCTTCATCTTCCAAACCCTCGATTACTTTCATACTTGAGGTCTCATTTTAATTTCTTGCCACAAGTATTTAATACAACTGCTTGTTGTAAGTTTCACTTTAGCTGAATGAATCGTGTAGCACATGAGATGCAAACATGAGCACATGCAGTTGATAACTAAGCCATGGACGTCTGAAATGTGAACACGTCAATTCAGCAGTAATAGTACTTGTAAGATTACGTATCTGTCTAACTTTCCTGTTAACTAAATACACTGATTGTGGTTTGTTGTTCGACAGTAGTTGACCATAGAAAAACGACTATTATTTGTAGTAAATATTGTAGCGTGGCGTCGAGTCGAGACTGACTATGTACACCGCTACCAAAAAGCTCGTTCCAAATGACTCCATAAAAACCCCGAGAAGCCAAATATCAGAAGGCAGAAAATGGACCAAGTCAAAATTTATTCACTGGCGATCTCGTGGTATCGAAAGGATACCGAGATCGTGCCAGGATACAAGCTTGGTTACAGAAGGTAACCAAATTCGCGCGGAATTACAATCGAAGTGTGTGAACAAGAATGGAAGCCCAATATAGCTGTCATTAGCACAGTCAAACAAAAGCACATTAAAATAAACACTGGTACAACTGTTTATAATAATAATTGTTTTTATTGAACCAGTCGTGTTCTCGTAATAAACGTGAGTCACTACAGGAGCCCCCCGCTAGAAAGGGTTTACACTTTCGATAAATAGCGGTTTAAATCGTGGGACTGATCGGCTGACAAGCGATTGTAGGACGAACGGATTGGCGAACAGGAAAGCGATCGTTGATCGTCGAGTTGCCAACGAAGGTCGTTTTCGGAGAACGGTACCAGGAGCGATGTGCTGTACTTGTTGCTTGAGTTGGCATGCTACACGAGTGGTTTGTATCCAGAATCTGAAGATGGCGTTCGTAGGGAATGCGGACCAGAAACGCTGCAGACGTAGGACGAAACCACGTTGAGCCAAAAGACCAAAAGCGACCGCAACGACCAAACGTATGCCAAACATTCGAAACCAATATATCGACTGAGTGCGTTGACAAGAGCGTGGGTGGCCAGTCCAGCTTTCGCCAAAGTTGACTGAAGTCGACGGAACCAAACGGAGATGGTCGAAGGCGTGGGCTCAGGAAACAAAAAGAAATCAAAAAAAGAAGAGTGTAGCGTTCGTGTAGTATAGGAATAATCCTACACCGTATCGGTTGTTGACTGTGCGGCTAGTCACGAAAGCGTACGGGCAACCGTACTCGGCGACCGGAACGTGAGACGATAGTCTCGTTCGCGTCGCGTGGGCCTGCAATCTCATCCGAAGTCAAAGGCTGCGTGGTCTGCTGATCTGGACGTGAGACTGTTGTCTCGTCCGTAGATAGTGCAGATGACGCGTGCTGTTGACCGGAACGTGAGAATGAGGTCTTGGACGTATCTAGCGTGGGATCTGAAGAAGATTTAAGGATCCCGCTAGGTTTGATAGGTCTGGCATTGAATCTCAGGGTATCAGATAGGGCACTGTCATCGACGTGTGCTGGTTTGAGACGATCAATGCTGACGATTTCGACGCGTCCATATCGACCAACCTTGAAGGTCTTTTCGTGACGAGCGATCACGTGAAAAGAGCCTTTGTAAGGTTGTTGCCAAGGTTTGCGTACCGAATCTACTCGTAAGAAAACATGTGAACAGGCAGATAACTCTCGAGGGAGAGCGACCTGTCGATGTTGTATTCGAGTTGACACCGGAGACAGCGTTCGCATAAATGCAGACAGTCGATGGACGTAGTCTGATTTACCGAAATCAGGTCTGCTCCGTGGTGTGAAGGATTCTCCGGGCAGACGCAATGTCGTGCCGTATACAAGTTCAGCGGCGGAACATTGGATATCTGCCTTTAAGCTCGTTCCGATCCCTAAAATAACGAGCGGTAAGGTTTCGTGCCAGTTGCCGTTTTCGTGTGCTCGTAGAGCACTTTTAAGTTGGCAGTGAAACCGTTCAACTTAACCATTTGGTGCTGGGTGGTAGACGGATATGCTTATGCGTATGCATTCCGTACCAAGCAGCCGGGTCAGCGAGGAGAATCGAATAAAGCATGGGATTTACCGTCACGCGAATAAAAAGTGACAAGGATTCGGTACACATACGTGGGAGTCTATTATATTAATACTATTCTTATCGATATCCGTCATGTCGAGTATATTATGTATTAAAAGATAATATGAAAATATACGACAGACGTGGATAGATAAATAACAGACTCACCAAACTGGCTTCTTTGGAAGATTTCACCAGAGGTTGAGGCGTGTTCCAAACTTTGGGATCACCAATTGTAGTGTGGCGTCGAGTCGGAGATTGACTATGTACACCGCTACCAAAAAGCTCGTTCCAATTGACTCCATAAAAACCCCGAGAAGCCAAATATCAGAAGGCAGAAAATGGACCAAGTCAAGATTTATTCACTGGCGATCTCGTGGTATCGAAAGGATACCGAGATCGTGCCAGAATACAAGCTTGGTTACAGAAGGTAACCGAATTCGCGCGAAATTACAATCGAAGTGTGTGAACAAGAATGGAAGCCCAATATAGCTGTCATTAGCACAGTCAAACAAAAGCACATTAAAATAAACACTGGTACAACTGTTTATAATAATAATTGTTTTTATTGAACCAGTCGTGTTCTCGTAATAAACGTGAGTCACTACAATATAAACGCTAATAACCTGT